CCACTCAGTCCCCGCAAGGTCCCTAGAGGGCCCATGCTCCCCCAGGACGGCTCGAGAGGGCCCCGAGCTGGCCCACTAGGGCCCCAACAATGCCGACAGGGTGTGTTCCACCAAGCTGATCCGAATCCCGGGTCCGCAACCACATTTCCCAGAAATCTGTTGCGAACCCAAGATTCGGTGCATTCCCCTGTAATTACTTATTGTCGCGTGCCCCGTTGCGACCCGCTGCAACATGACATCCTCGGCTTGGCATTGCTTTGTGCTTTGCGGCATTGCTTGACATTGCGTTGGTTTGCTTGGCATTTATTCGCAAGGATTGCCATTCCTTCGCGTTGCGCACGGGGGCACCTGGGCCACGAACAGGCAAATGTGCGGGCCTACGAAAGCTTTTTGTCGTCATTCACTGCCAGACATTTCTGCAAGCGTGTACGTACACATGACCCCCCCGACGGCGCCATCTCTTTCCCTCCTCCTGCTCCTCCTCTGGCTCCTCCTCCTCCTCCTCCTCCTCCTCGTCCTCCTCCTCATCCTCCTCTTTCTGCCGCTCCACCACTCGTCCTCCCCCACATCCACTTCCCTTTCCTCGCTCGCCGAGATTCCCTCCCTCCTATCCTCCACCCTCCACCAGGCGCCTTTCGGGAGCCCCCGGAGGCCCGCGAAGGGCCAGGGACCTCCCGAACTTTCGAAGACTTCCGAAGACCACCGCAGGGAAGGGACCAACATATGCAAAGCCTCAAGGACCAAGCTGCATGGCGCGAATCGCCAATGCAGTCTTGTACATACATATGTACATGTGTACGTACGTATGTATGTATGTATGTATGTATGTATGCATGCATGCATGTATGTATGTCTGTCTGTCTGTATGTATGTATGTATGTATGTATGTATGTATGTATGTATGTATGTATGTATGTATGTATGTATGTATGTACGTGTGTGTATGTATGTATGTATGTATGTATGTATGTATGTATGTATGTATGTATGCATGTGTGTATGTATGTATGTATGTATGTATGTATGTATGTATGTATGTATGTATGTATATGTGTATGTATGTATGTATGTATGTATGTATGTAAGTCTGTACGTATGTAAGTATGTAAGTATATAAGTATGTAACTGTGTAAGTATGTAAGTATGTAAGTAAGTAAGTAAGTATGTGTGTATGTGTGTATGTGTGTATGTATGCATGTATGTATGTATGTGTGTATGTATGCATGTATGTATGTATGGACGTATGTATGTATGTATGTATGTATGTATGTATGTATGTATGTATGTATGTATGTATGTATGTATGTATGTATGTGTATATATATATATATATGTGTTCATGTCTGCCGCCATGCCGAGAGGCGCGAGTTGGAGTGCCCTCAAATCCCTTGAGCCCTCCGTCCTCAGTCCTGAGGGTTGTTGAGAATTCAGGGGCCCGCACCCCAAATTGACAGATCTCTTGGGGCGTGTCGCGTGTCGTCGCTAATATTGGTTTGAAGCCAGAACGCGCCAACACAGGCCAAGAGCGTCCCAAGAGGCTTCCAAGATGGTCCAAGAGGCCAAGGTGCTCAAGATGGCCTCAAGACGGCTCCTAACACGGTCCAGAAGGGCTGCAAGAGGCCATCCAAGAGGGCCCCGAAGTATTTCGAAGGTATTCGACAGATTTTAGCGTTCTCGCCTTTTCGAGTCCTCGATGCTTCAAGACGGCCCCCGAGAACGCCCCAAGAGGCCCACTAAGAGGGCGCCCAGATGGTCCAATATGGCCCCAAGACGGCCCAAGGAGGGCTCAAGATGGGGGACGTGAATCGCCATTTCGAGCCCCTCGCCCCAGGATGTCCCACGAGACGCCCTCTGTCGATCGAGATGCTCAGTGAGGGTCCCATTGGCACTGCCTCTGGGCTTCGAACGGCTCCCCCGATGCCCCCACCTCTTCCAGGATACCAGAGACAAGTCAAGGAAACTCAGGGTACTGCGATGCCCATCTAGGAATAGATGCCTCTGCAAGAATGCATGGGGCCGATTGCACGATGATCGGGACGTAGTCTGAAGGGAACTGCCGGTCGAAATAGTCGCCCTGAATGCTAGACCTCATCTTATTTTCCAAGATCCCAGCCGTGGGGGTATTCAGATATGTCCCGTCCAGCCTGCCGACGCTCTGTATGAAGTATGCGTCGAGGAGTGTGGGAATACTGGGGTACCTCGACGAACTCGAGCGACTCGAAACACAACAGGAGAGGAGAGTCGGCCCATCTTTGACCAACAGCCCGCTCCTCATGCTACATACTGAAACTCCAGTCCCCACAACATTGCATACGGCCTGTCTGCACAGCAAAGCGCGGCGGATCGCTGCAAGAACACGCGTCCCTGGAGCTGTCAACAGCTTAGGGTCGTGATGGATATTCCCAAAGAACGCTCATCAAGAGGCCCACTCAGATGGAGAAGTCTGAAGAATACAGCATCCGCCACTATATATTACCTGAAATTAACAAAACATACGCGGGGAACTTGTGGGAGACAGAAAGGACGAAGCCCCCAGAAATCATATACATTGCAACAGCTCCCCACGTGCAACACATTCGGAAACATAGCATACAAAGAGTTTGAGTGTCGGCGTTGCTACCGTGCGTTTCTTGCAATCTTGCAATACCATGAAGCTCGTTGAACTTACGCACTGTAGCGAACTTGCCTCTCTGCGGTCGTAAGAATCATGCACGCTCCCGAAGAGCCTGATAGTTCCAACTAACGATCCCCCACATCAAAGCAATAGCGAGGGGAGGGGTGTGTGTTGCTAATTTTTCCCTTAACCGAAATACATAAATTCGCACGTTGTTTCAGCAGGCGCGCCACCAGGAGAAGGGATAGGCCAGGGCACAAGGCACCCCTGAACATGCCGCCCGGTAGCATGCTCGACAAAGCAGCTTCGCATGCGCGCGTGCCCCCAGGACGCACTCACTGTTGGCTCGTGTTGAGGATGGAAAATGGAAGAGGAAAGAGGAGGGGGAGGAGGAGGAGGAGGAGGAGGAGGAGGAGGAGGCATGGGGAGGAGGAGGAAGAGGAGGGAGTAAGGGGGGGGGAGGAGGAGGGGAGGAGGAGGACGACGAGGACGAGGAGGAGGACCAGTGTAAACCCAAGACTCAACAACGATGTTGGAATACACCCTCCCTCCAAGCTCCATCTTCATAGACCCCATAGGAAGGCCCTCCCCACTGAGGGAAGTGCCCCGTTGGGGGACAGCCGGGTGAAAATCCTGAAACGTGCCAAAACACCATTCTCAGGACGTCAACGCCACGAGTCCACCTGACCGTTGCGTCTTGACGATCCTGCCTCGTGCCAGAGCACCGCTCCTGAGACTTCAACACCACGAATCAACGTAACTGCTCCACCCTGACAGTCCTGAATCTTTCCAAAACACCATGTCTGGTACGTCAACCATGAGAATAAATTAAACTCATGTAAAATGGTTAAACGAATATGCACGGCGCTAAAGCAAGAGCCGCATTTTGAAAACGACCCGCCCTCCATCCGTGAAGCTCTTGCATTTTTCAAACGAATGTGCGCGGCGCTAAAACGAGAACCACATTTCGAACAAGAACCGGCCTCAAACCGTGAAAGTCTTGCAACTTGTTCCAAACGAATGTGCGCAGCGCTAAGTCAAAATCAAGAACCACATCTTAAAAACGACCCGCCCTCGACCCGTGAAGCGCTTGGACATGTTTCAAACGAATGTGCGCGGCGCTAAGGCGAGAGCCACATTTTGAAAACGGCCCGCCCTCAATCCGTGAAGCTCCTGCAACTTGCTAATACGAATGTGCGCGACACCAAAGCGATAACCACATTTTGAAAACGACCCGCCCTCAGACCGTGCGCGGATGTGCGCGGCACTAATGCGAGAACCACATGTTGAAAAAGAACCGCTCTCGATCCGTGAAACTCTTGTAAATGTTTCACACGAATGTGCGCGGCACTGAGGCGAGAGTCACATTTTGAAAACCACCCACCCTCCATCTGTGAAGCCGTTGCCAACTGTTGAGCTTGAAGTTCAAGAATAGAACATAGAACAAGTCTCAAGCAACCGCCCGGCCCGACCTTCCGACTCGCCTCGGGGTGCGACAGGGAGTAGTTATTTACAAGGAGAAGGAATGGTGGAGGAGGGGGAGGAGGAGCAGGAGAAGGAGGAGCGGGAGGGGGAGGGGGAGGGGGAGGGGGAGGACGACGACGCCGACGATGATGGCGACGAGCGACGAGCGGCCGTCGCCTCCTGCGCCTGGGCGCTGGGGGGGCCTCGGCCTGCGCCTCCGCCCGCAGCTGCAGCCCTTGGGCACGGGCTCTGCTGCGGGCGCCTCCACCTTCGGGGCCAGCGGGGGAGGGGAGAGGAGGTGGGTGGGGGATGGAGGGAGGGGTGCGGTGGGGGTGGGGGATGGAGGGAGGGGTGCGGTGGTGGGGGGGGAAGGAGGAGGAGGAGGAGGAGGAGGAGGAGGAGGAGGAGGAGGAGGAGGAGGAGAGGAGGAGGAGGAGGAGGAGGAGGAGGAGGAGGAGGAGGAGGAGGAGGAGGGGGAGAGCGGAAGGGAGGTAGTGGGGGAGAAACAAACAGTATCAATGGCACGCCGCCGTTTGGAGCACATCAGCTAGTTATGGTTGAAGAACGACCAAGTTTTCGGAGAAACAACCGTATAAACGAAAGCGAGGAATGACACGCCGACTGGCTCCCAACGGCAGCGCGTCGGTGATGCTCTCGTTCCCTCCCGAGGCAGGGGCTCAGTGAGCTCGAAGTGGGAGCGGGCAGAATGTAGGACGAGAGCCAACCGCATGTGGTGACCACTCGGCGACTGCAGAGGGTGTGGTTTGCAAAGGGGGTGGTTCGCAACGCGCAGTCGCCGAACCATACTCCGAGGATGCCCGCACTTGGACAGCCAACTCGCCTGTTCGGCCTGCGGCCCAGCAGGCCCGTCTCGCCGCCGCCGGCAGGGCAGCCTCGCGGTTCCGCCGCGGGCTGGGCCGCCTCCGCCGGCGCCGCGGGCGCGGGGGCCGCCGCCGGGGCCGCGGGCGCCGTGGCGGCTGCCCACGGCGAGCCGCCCCTGGCGGGGCCGCGGTCAGAATCTCGCTGCACTTGAGAAGGGACCGACCGTCCCAGCATTCCTGTGGGCTGACAACGACTTTTTATATGAACATCAGGATGTCTTGAACACGAGAACGATGTTCTTGGAACATAAACCCAATGTGTTAAACCAAGCCGGTCTCGGCCAGAAATCTTCAGAAAACATTTCGTGCAGACCACAAAAGACTCTCTGAACAGTCTTTAGTGGGCCTACAGGCAAGCCAGGACGCCTCGCCACTGCTTGCTGCACGGAGCTGCAGTCGGGGCCACCCAACTTCGCGCAACGCGCACCGCGCTGCGCGGTGCGCAAGGCGCCGCAATATTTACACCGTCGCACCGCCTCCCTGCAGAAGACCAAGCGAACGATCTGGGCCGCGACGCGCGAAATGCGGTCATCTTCGCGCATGCGGGGATGACCTGGGCAATCAAAGAGCGAAATAATCAATGTTCTTCCTCGTCGGGTTGATCTGCCTGGTTGAGATGCCCTGCTGGGCGGTTGCCGAAGAATTAAAGCAACATCGGGCCGCCTCCGAGCCCAACATGTTCCTTAGTTCGATGCCCAAGCTGGAAGTGGATGCGAGCGAGCGAGACGCTGTGCATGTTTGAAGAATGCGTTGGAGGAAGAGGAATACGGAAGAAACAGCATGAGCCGTACACCGATAGTCTCATGATCTCGCCTCCTCATCCTCATCCTCATACTCATCCCCCGCCCCCTCCTCCACCTCCCACTCCTCCTTACTCTGGCCTCCCCGTTACAGCCCCGGGCCAGGCAACCTCAGAGCACACACAGCTCGAGTACCGATCGAGACGGACAGCGCTGCCCTGGAGCTCCAAACGGGTTCATACCCAGCGGGCTCCGAGCCACAGCCAGCCATCTGGGCGCAGGTTGTTTGGACCGATGTGTCTTTCAACCCTCTGCTCAACCTCCTCCCCTGGGACTGGACAGGGGGGGGAGGGGGCGAGGGGGCAGAGCCATCCAAGGATACCCCAAGAGGCCCAAACCATTCCACACCACATGTTGTTGTCCAGTGATGGCTTCGTCTCCACAGGGCCACTGTGGCCGCAAGATGGCTTCACGATCGCCCACGAGAGCCAGAAGATGGGAGGGGCCCATGACGGTCCAAGGAGCGCCCAAGGGGGACCCAAGAGAGCTCCAAGAGGGGACTGCTCGAGCCCCAGAAGCAACCTTAATTATCCCCAATTCACGGAATGTCGCACAGAGGATGGTGGCCTGTCAGAGGGGCATCATTGGTAGGTTTTTGCATTATTTGCCTGTCATATCACAACAAGTGCAACACTATGTCAACTCTGATTGGAAGGATTCCTAAAGCTACTACATGTCAACACAAGTGCAATATAATCGGCAGGATGCCCCATTGGTCTCGGACTGAGTATGCCCAACTATTCGGGCACCCCTGGTCCAGTTCGCCCTCAGCGTTTCGGCGTGTGGTTGGCCATCCTCCTCAGGACCAACCACACGGGGCAGGCCGACGCTGTCACGAACGACATCCCTGTTTCCTCCGAGACTCCTTCGTACACACCAAAGTTGCCAGAAGAGGTCAAGCAAAGTTATTGGAACTTGCTGTTTTGGCCTTCAAAGAAGGGAGGGAACAACTGGCCCCTCTTTCGTGACACCGTCGGCACCTGGCGGACTGGCCGCAGGTGTCCCCTTTTTCCTTGAATGTCTGACCCCCCGCCCCCGTGACCAGAGCACTGACTGGAGCACAAGACGGCGGAGCCGACTTCACAACAGGCATGCCGGAATCTCTCTGCAACACGCGCAGGCATGCTGCTGGAATATCTCTGACTGATGGGAAAAAGGCTGCGCCGCCGAAGACGAGCTCCTGGAGAGCTTCGACTGACAACCCGTTATTTGCCTGTCATATCACAACAAGTGCAACATCATGTCAACTCTGAATGGAAGGGTTCTTAAAGCAACTACATGTCAACACAAGTGCAATATAATCGGCATTATCTTGGTCTTGGGATGCTCCTTTGGTCTCGGACTGAGTATGCCCAACTATTCGGGCACCCCTGGTCCAGTTCGCCCTCAGCGTTTCGGCGTGTGGTTGGCCATCCTCTTCAGGACCTGCCACAACCAACCACACGGGGCAGGCCGACGCTGTCACGAACGACATCCCTGTTTCCTCTGGGACTCTTTCGTACACACCAAAGTTGCCAGAAGAGGTCAAGCAAAGTTATTGGAACCTGCTGTTTTGGCCTTCAAAGAAGGGAGGGAACAACTTTTTGGGCCACGATCACTCCAAGATGGACCCAGATGCCCCAAGCAATCCTCGAACACGGCGCAAGACGGCCTAAGATGTCCCCGGGAGGTCCAAAGACGGCCCCAAGGCGGCTCCAAATGGCCTCGGATCCTCCCACGGGCGCCCGCGACAGGCCCAAAGCCTTCAAAACCCGATGGTTCCAATGATCTGCCACAGTCCCACAGTTCCAATGATCTGCCACAGTACCTCTGCCATGGGAAGAGGAGGAGGAGGAGGAGGAGGAGGAGGAGGAGGAGGAGGAGAAGGAGGAGGAGTGGCAGAATGCCAGGTGCTGCCTGGCGGGGCATCCATTGGCCTTTGAAAGGCGTCCCCTCTCGACGCGTCCAGCTGCGCGCATCGCCCACCCCCTCCCGAGGCTCCCTGGGCGGCCCGACGCCTTCCCGGCGTGCTCCACAGCCTGCAAGGTGCCCCTGGTGGCTTCGAAAACGACCCTGTCAAGCCACCAGGGCCGCCAAGATGGCCCGAGGTGTCTCCACGACGACCCGATATGGCCCCAGGGCAACCCAACTTTGGCTCGGGATGGTCCGCGATTCCCCCAACACGGCCCAAGAGGCAAGAGGAGAGCACGAGTACTCTCAAAGGGGCCCGAAGAAGCCAAACTCATTGAATGTCTAAAAACTTGTTGATGTATTGGCACACTATCGCCTAGCTGGGCTTTCATCAGCTCAAGACGGCCCGAGAAGCCTCAAATTATGGCCCCAAGACAGCCCAAGAACACCTAAGAGGGCCGCAATGTTGCCCACGCACAAGCTGCTGCCAAGACGGCCCCGAGCTGACCCAAGAGGGCATCCGTAGGGACCCAAGACGGCCTGAGAGCGCCCCTCGACGACCCAAAACGACGCCAACACGGCCCCAAGATCCCACAGAGCCAAGGAATCAAGGTGGCTCCAGAAAGCCAAAGAGGGTTCCAAGACGGCCCAAGAAGGCCCCAGGACAGTCCCCAAGGGCCCCCCAAAGACTGCCCCACCGGAGCCCAAGTCAGCCACAAGACGGCTCAAACGATATCCATGCGAGCTCCTCAGGTCAGGAAGTGAAAGGCGACACATGTGACGACTTTCCTCTTCAGGCTCCCGCACCTCCTCCTCATCATCCAGCATCACCACCATCACCACCACCATTATCCTCCTCCTCCTCCTCCTCCTGCTCCTTCTCCTCCTCCTCCTCCTCCTCATCATCATCAGCATCATCAGCATCATCAGCATCATCAGCATCATCATCAGCATCATCAGCATAATCATCATCAACATCAGCATCTTCAGCATCATCATCATCATCATCAGCATCGTCATCACCAGCATCCTCATCATCATAGGCATCATAATCATCATAATCCTCCTCCTCATCACCATCATCACCATCACCATCACCAGCATCATACTTATAATCATCATTATAATCAGCATCAGCATCATCATCATCATCAGCATCATCATCATAATCATCCTCACCCTCATCCTCATCATCATCCTAGTCCGAATCCTAATCCTAATCCTGATCCTCCTCATCATCATCCTCATCCCCATCTCCATCCATATCCTCATCATCATCCCCATCAGCATCACCATCACCGTCACCGCCACCATCACCATCACCATCATCGTCATCATAATCAGCATCAGCAGCATCAGCAGCAGCATCGTCAACATCACCATCACCACCCATCACCATCACCATCATCATCTTCACCATCGTCAACATCAGCATCATCATTATCATCACCACCACCACCATCATCATCATCATCAGCAGCATCATCATCAGCACCATCATCACCATCACCATCATCGTCATCATAATCAGCATCAGCATCATCAGCAGCAGCATCGTCATCATCACCATCATCACCACCATCATCACCATCATCACCACCACCATCATCACCATCAGCATCATCAGCAGCATCATCGTCATTATCATCAGCATCATCATCATCATCAGCATCATCATCATCATCATCGTCATCATCACTAACAACATCTCCAGCATCATAACCATCAGCATCACCATCACCAGCAACACCACCATTAGCAACACCATCACCATTACCACTATCGTCACCACCATAACCATCAGTATCTTCTTCAACGTCCTCACCATCCTCGTCACGACGTTCCCAAACTTCGGGGCACGAAGTGTCACACGTGACGGCATACAATGCCCCTCGAACAGCCGCCACCCAGAATGCTGGGCTGACACGGTGGGCGATCGCCCTCTCGCAATTTCGCTGTCGATGGGCTTCTAAGGCCTCAAGATGGCTCCAAGATCGTCCAGGATAGCCCCAGGAAGGATCCAGCAGACCCCTAAGACGGCCCAACGGCCCCCCAAGACGGTCCAGGCGTCGCAGCAAAGACCAAAGAAACGACTGTTCGCACTCCGACGTGCGGGGCGAATGGGGACCGTTCCCGTTTCCATGACTGCCTCTAGGCTGGACCCACGGGGGGCCCTAAGGCCCTCCAAAAGAATCCTAAGAGACCCCCAGGAGGGACATGGAAGCTCCCAACACTGCCCCAACCAAACGCCGACGTTGCTCCAAAAATCTTCCCACCGACTCCCAGATCGAACCATCCGCGAAGGCCTTTGTGTCTGATTCCTGTCGTCGTCGCCGCCGTCCTCCCCTATCCTCCTCCTGCTCACTATCCTCCTCTTCCTCCTCCTCCCACCTCCTTCTCCACCTCCTCCTGCTCCTCAACCTCCT